AAGCCATAGCGGATAGAGTATGTAGGGTACAGTACCAGAGAGGTGAGGACTGAAGATCTATAGATGTCCAGATCTGCACAGGACCACTTTGAGTATCAAGCTGAGTGTCATTCAGAAACTAGTTAGTTTGGCAAGGTTGCATGATCCAAGATCAATACACAAAGACCAACTGTATTTTGATATACAAGCAAAAATTAGAAATTGACATTTTTAAAATGCTACTTAGAATAAAAGATATGAATTACTTAGGGATAAATATGATAAAAGATATGCAAGACATGTATAGCGAAAACCAAAAAGCGTCGCTGAGATAATGTGAGAATCAATAGCATTAAAATACCTATTCTCCCCTAATTGACCTAAAAATTCGGTGTGATCCCAATCAAATGTCCAGGAAGTTTTCTTTTGTAAAAGTAAAAACAGGCCGGGCGCGGTGGCTCAAGCCTGTAATCCCAGCACTTTGGGAGGCCGAGGCGGGTGGATCGCGAGGTCAGGAGATCGAGACCATCCTGGTCAACATGGTGAAACCCCGTCTCTACTAAAGATACAAAAAATTAGCTGGGCACGGTGGCGCGTGCCTGTAATCCCAGCTACTCGGGAGGCTGAGGCAGGAGAATTGCCTGAACCCAGGAGGCAGAGGTTGCGGTGAGCCGAGATCGCGCCATTGCATTCCAGCCTGGGAAACAAGAGCGAAACTCTGTCTCAAAAAAAAAAAAAAAAAAAAAAAGTAAAAACAGATTCTAAAATTCACATGGAAATGCAAAAGACCTAGAATAGCCAATAAAATTGTGAAAATAAAGTTAAGTGACCTGTATAATCTTACTTAATGACTCAACATAAAGGTAAAATAATCAACACAGTGTGGCATTGGCATAGAGATGAACAAATAGACCAACAGAAAAGAACAGAGGTTACAACAGAAACAGGCCCATAAGTGCGGCGGCTCATGCCTGCAATCCCAGTACTTTGGGAGACTGAGGCAAGCGGATCGCCTGAGGTCAGGAGTTAGAGACCAGCCTGCCCAACATGGCAAAACCCCATCTCTACTAAAATACAAAAAATTAGCCAGGCATGGTAGCAGGCACCTGTAATCTCAGCTACCAGGAGTCTGAGGCAGGAGAATCACTTGAACCTGGGAGGCGGAGGTTGCAGTAAGCCAAGATCTCAAGGCATTCCAGCCTGGGTGACGAGCAAAACTCTGTCTCAAAAAAAGAAATAGGCTCATACATATAGTCAGTTGATTTTACCCAAATGTAGAGAAATTCAGTAGAGAAAGAATAGTATTTTTTAAATGGTGTTAGACCAAATAGATATCTCTTTTAAAAAACTGAATTTCTATCCATACTTCACTATATAAAAGATTAACTCAAGGTAGTTCATAAACCTCACGTAAAACCTAAAACCATAAAATTTCTAGGAAAAAACAAAGCAGTGAATCTTGTGGTTTCAAGTTAGTCATAATTTCTCTCTCTCTCTTTCGTGTTTTGTTTTTTTGTTTGTTTTGTTTTGTTTGGATAGAGTCTCGCTCTTGCTGCCCAGGCTGGAGTGCAGTGGTGTGATCTTGGCTCACTGTAACCTCTGCATCCCAGGTTCAAGCAATTCTCTTGCCTCAGCCCCCTAAGTAGCTGGGATTACAGGTGCCAGCCACCACGACTGGCTAATTTTTCTTTTGTATTTTTTGTAGAGATGGGGTTGGCCACCATGTTGGCCAGGCTGGTCTTGAACTCCTGACCTCAGGTGATCCGCCCACCTTGGCCTCCCAAAGTGTTGGGATTACAGGCATGAACCTCCACACCCAGCCAGATTAGTCATAATTTCTTAGATATAACCAAACCACAAACCATATAAGAAAAAAATTGATTAACTGCACTTCATCAAATTAAGAACTTCTGCTCTTTGAAAGATACTGTTAACAGAATGAAAAACATAAACCGCTGGGAGAAAATATTTGTAAAACATGTCTGACAGATGATATAAAAAATATTTAAAAGTTCTTACGATTTAATAATAATGAACAAACTGCCCAACTGGAGATGGGTAAACAATCTGAACAGACATTTCACCAAAGAAAATATGCAGGTGGAAAATAAATATATGCAGGTTATGAGGGAAATGCATACCATTAAACCACAGTGTAACTGCACATTCATTTAAATGACTACAATAACAAAATTTGACCATACTATGTTGTGTAAAGATATGAAACAACTAGAAAACATACATGCTTCTAGTAGGAATGTAAAATGGTACAACCACTTTTGAAACTAGTTTTTTGGTTTCTTTAAAAGTTACACGTACACATCAAACAACAGCAAAAAATAAATAATCTGATTAAAAGCTGGTCAAAGGACCTGAACAGATATTTCTCAAAAAAAGAGACAAATGGCCAATAAGTATATTAAAAAATGTTCACAATCCCAGCACTTTGGGAGGCCAAGGTGGGCAGATCACGAGGTTAGGAGTTTGAGACCAGCCTGGCCAACAAATTGAAACCCTGTCTCTACTAAAACTACAAAAATTAGCCAGGTGTGATGGCACATGCCTGTAATTCCAGCTAGTAGGGAAGATGAGGCAGGAGAATTGCTTGAACCTGGGAGGTGGAGGTTGCAGTGAGCTGAGATCACACCATTGCCCTTTAGCCTAGCAGCAGAGTGAGACTCCATCTTAAAAAAAAAAAAAAAAAAAAAATGCTCAAGATCACTATTGGGGAAATGCAAATTATCATTATTTTTTCATTTTTAGTTTTTAGACACAGGGTCTCATTCTATCTCCCAGGGCAGAGTGCAGTGGTACAATCATAGCTCACTGAAGCCTCAACCTCCTGGGCTCAAGGGATCCTCCCACTGCAGCCTCCCAAGTAGCGAGGATCAAAGGTGCATGTCACTGTGCTCTGCTAATTAAAACACATTTTTTGGAGGCCTGTCTCACTATGTTCCCTAGACTGGTCTTGAATCCTGGCCTCAAGCAATCCTCCTCCCTCAGCCTCCTGAGTGCTGAGAGTCCTGGGCTCAGGAAACGCCAATTAAAACCACAATGAGAGGTCAGGCATGTTGGCTCACACCTGTAATCCTAGCACTTTGGGAGGCTGAGGTGAGGAGTTTGAAACCAGCCTGGCCAACATGGAGAAACCTTGTCTCTACTAAAACTACAAAAATTAGGCAGGTGTGGTGGTACTCGCCTGTAATCCCAGCTACTCAGGAGGCTGAGGCATGAGAATCACTTGAACCTGGGAGACGTAGGTTGCAGTGAGCTGGGATCATGCTACTGCACTCCAGCCTGGGCAACAGAGTCTCAAACAACAGCAACAACACAATGAGCTATCACATCACACCTGTCAGAATGGCTATACTAAAAAAATAAGTAAATAATAACAAGTGTTGGCTAGAATGTGGAGAAAAGGGAATCCCTGAACACTGTTGGTGGGGATGTCATTTAGTGCAGCCCATTATGGAAAACAGTATGGAGGTTTTTCAAAAAATTAAAAATGGGCTGGACACAATTATAGGCATATAATCCTAATATATATTATTATATAATGTGGGAGGCTGAGGTGGGTGGATCACAAGGTCAGGAATTCAAGACTAGCCTGACCATGATAGTAAAGCCCCATCTCTATTAAAAATAGAAAAATTAGCTGGGCAGGGTGGCGGGTGCCTGTGATCCCAGCTATTCGGAAGGCTGAGGCTAGAAAATTGCTTGAACCCGGGTGGCAGAGGTTGCGGTGAGTACAGATCGTGCCACTGTACTCCAGCCTGGGCGACAGAGTGAGGCTCTGTTTCAAAAATAAATTAATTAATTAAAATAAAAAGATCTCAGCAATCCCACTGCTGGCATTTGCAGGCAAAGAAAGCCAGGCAAATACCACATGATCTCACTTATATGTGGAATCTGAAAAAGATGAACCCAGAGAAGCAGAGAGTAGAGGACACTACAAAGACACATGAAGAAAACTTTTGGGAGTAACAATGAAGTTCATTATTTTTATTGTAGTGATGGTTTCACAGGCATATACACATGTCAAAGCTTATCAAATCATATACTTCAAACATGTGCCATTTACGATAATGTCAACTATATCTCAATAAAGCTGATTTTAGATTTTTCTTCTCCTTCTTTTGCTTCTTTTCATTTTTTTTTTAAAGACGGGATTTTACTATGCTGCCTAGGCTCATCTCAGACTCCTACACTCAAGCCATCTTCCTTGCCTTGGCCTCCCAAAGTGCCAGGATTATAGGCATGCACCACCAGGCCTGGCAATAAAGCTGATTTTAAAAAGCAGAATTAGAAAGAATAATGTATCTGTACATACTAACATTAAGAAAAAGTCCATGACACATACTAAGTTTTAAAAAGGTGTAGAATTACATATAGATGGAGAGAGTTAAGTATCTCATGATCCTAGTTATGTAAAATGAGTATATGTATATTGAATATATATATGTGAATGTATACAAAAGGTCTAAGGAAATACATATTAATCCATTTCCAGTTTGAGATTGGAGAAACAATATGGAAGGCTTTCATTTTATACATCCCTATACTGTTTAAACTTTGTATAACAATCATGCACTACTTCTGAAATTTTTAAAATAAAAGAAAGTTTAAAAAAAAAAAAAGTTAAAAAGGCACAGGGCAGAAGATGAAAGTTTGGGAGGCCAAACTGACATATTTTATAACAACAAATAAAAGATGGAGTCTTATATTTGGAGACTAATTCCCAGTTGTAAAGCTAAAGCAAAAGGCATAGGCATCAAATTCACTTGGACTTAGATTCCGATCTGCTGTCTCTGCTCCTGCCCAACGGAAAATCACCATTTCCATGGGCCACCGAGATGACTGACAGCAACTGCCTATCCCTCCAGTATCCTGAGGCACACGTCAAAAACTTTAAAGGACCAACAGTTTTCACTCCGATTTTCAATGGGGATGAGGAACAATCAAGGTGCCAGTAAAGAATCTGTCAAGGTTTCTAAGCCCACACTCCTCAGAATATTTGGTACCTTGGATAATTTTCTGCTGCTGTTGTCGGATTTCATCAAAACCCAAGCCTCTGGTCTCCTCGGGCTCCTCAAAGAGCCAAGGGTTGGGTACTTCTCGCTTAGCCTCTTCCCTCATCAGGCTGGACCTAAAGAACAATATTAAATGCATGATATATCTCAAAACATGCAGCTCAAATGCCAATTACTCCCACAAGTGCAGAGGTGGCCAGCCTTGAATGCTTTGAAAATTCAACTGAAACACAATTTATTGCATTCTCAGTTTATGCCAGGAACTGCATTCAGTGCTGAAAGAGATACAAGGATGAATAAGTCACAACCTTGGTCCTCAGAATTACAGCCTCTTTTTTTTTTGAGATCGAGTTTCGCTCTTGTTACCCAGGCTGGAGTGCAATGGCGCAATCTCGGCTCACCGCAAGCTCCGCCTCCTGGGTTCAGGCAATTCTCCTGCCTCAGCCTCCTGAGTAGCTGGGACTACAGGCACGCACCACCATTCCCAGTTAATTTTTTGTATTTTTAGTAGAGACGGGGTTTCACCATGTTGACCGGGAGGGTCTCGATCTCTTGACCTCGTGATCCACCCGCCTCGGCCTCCCAAAGTGCTGGGATTACAGGTACAGCCTCTTATAGAGATGATGGTAGAACATAATACTTGTACTAATGCTCCAAGAGATATTTAAGTTAATTATCCTAAAATATGTTGGTAATAAACAAGGTTCTTAAATTTCCAAAACACAAGCCCGAACAGTGGCCTTTTTATTAGGACAAAGTTTGTCTCAAAGGCTCGATGACTCCAAAGGTACAAATATTATTTCTGAAGCAGATACAATGCTGCGACTACAGATTACAACATTGTGACTACAGAGTACAATGTTGAAAAAATATAAAGGCCATATAATTTCCCATTAAAGAGTATTTGGAGCCAGGCATGGTGAGTCATGCCTGTAATCCCAGCACTTTGGAAGGCTGAGGCAGGAGGATCACCTCAAGTCAGGAGTTCCAGACCAGCCTGGCCAATGTGATGATTAAACCATGTTTCTAAAAACAATACAAAAATTAACTGGACTTGGTGGCGGGCGTCTGTAATCCCAGCTACTAAGGAGGCTGAGGTAGGAGATTTGCTTGAACCTGGGAGGTGGAGGTTGCAGTGAGCCGAGATTGCACCACTGCACTACAGCCTGGGTACCAGAGCGAGACTCTGTCTCAAATAAAGAAAAGAAAAAGGACCTTTGGTTGCTCACAGACAGAAACACATTCAGGGTTTCAAAACCAATTTTGTGACTATAATGTAGCATTCATAACAGAATAAACACATTCTGATTTGTCAATCTTAATCTTTACTCCCTCTAATAATCCATGTGCCCCTTCTGCACCAGATCAGTTGGTCTCGCTGTCTAAGGAACAGGAAGCACATGATTTCCGCCTCAGTCACCATGTTTTTAGGATTCTCCTTCCCTCAAGTAGCTCCTCTCCTCTCCCTGCCTGTCCACATTCTGTCCAAGCTGAGATCATCTTGTTCCGGATACCACCTTCTGACTACTTCAATGAAGAGATGAACTTTCACTTAGAGCAGTCATCAGTCATGAAAAATCATAGAGTAAATAGTGGGTGGGACATCAGCAAGCTGGCTTAGAGGCACCTGGTGTTCACCCGCCCCCTCACCCCGCCTTTCTTATGAAAAGACTCCAGGCAATGAATGAACAGCTAAGTTTGACTCCAGTGTGGGAAAGCGCTGGACTGCAGTGGGGAAGTGGAGAGGCCCCTGTGGTGATTGAAAATCTAGGAGGGAAGCATGAAGGCCCCCAGCCTCTGCGGCCCCATCTCTTCCACCAGGATTGGGTAGGCCTGGACACAGGACTCCCTATGAAGAAAAGGTAAGCAGAAGATTCCCACCGGCCCTCACTGCCACTGCAAATACCTATAGTCCTTATTACAGGAGAATCCCCCAGTCCCTGCAAGTTCTGAGCCCAGTTTGAAGAGCTGCTGGGAATTGGTACAGTTGTACTGCCACAGATTAGGAGCACACCCTACTCCCCACCCACCCCATGAGCCAAGTTACTACAGCATGGTGCTATCTCCGGACCCCAGCTCCCTCTGGAGTGTGCCTTCCTCCTGGGGCCAGCAGCCACTACATCTTTCCAGCACTGGGACTCCATCTGCATGCCACCGAACCTACACAGATGGCTAACTCTACACCCCAGGGCTCAGGAATGGCTGTGACTCCTGCGCTGAAGGGAAACCACCCTCTGCACTTCAGCCACAGAAACAGTCCCACTCAGGGCAAACCCACTCTTGAGCCAACCAAACTGCTGCATACCTTCCTGCAAGTAGAAGGCCCTGAGCAACTGACAGGCTAGCAGAGTGACTACAGTCCTGTATCCAGGATCTGTGAACTAGTCAGTCAGGGTAGCCCCCTGCAGACATGACCCTGGCCCACCCGAAGGCCTCACACCTCAATTGGGGCCTGAGAAACAACCCTTCACTGCCCCAGGCCAGTGAAGTAGCCATGTGTCCACGTCTCAGGCCTGAAAAACAGCCCATGGGTCACCCCCAGCAGCAACTCCCCTAGGCCCGCCAAGCAGCCTTGTGTTCACATCCCAGGTCTGAGAAGCAACTCATAAGGCCACTCCTGGCAGACACGCCCCCAGGTCTTTAAGCAGCCTATGCCCACCTCTCATGTCTGAGAAACAGCCCTGTGGGCTGCCCCCAGCAGACATGCCCCCGCCCCCAGGAGAGCTGAGCAGCAGTGTGCCCATGTCCTGAACCTGAGAAACAGCCCAACAGGCCCCTCTGGCAGGTGGCAAGCAAGACTGGCCAAGCAACCAAGCACCTGTGCCCTCAGCCAGAGTAAGGGCATCAACCCCAACCCCATCAAGGGAGACCCCAAGTTGGACAACCCACCATGTGAATGCATGCATTGCCAACCTGATTAATAGCCCAGTGAGCAAACCCCTGGCAAAGTCATGCCACCACCACCACAAAGCCTCTCAGCTGAGGCCATTGAGACACTCACAAATGTCATTAGCATGGATTATTGTTGAAGAAACTACACAAAAACTACACTACTATGCCCACCAAAGTCAATGCACCCCACTGAACCAACACCCCAAGATCCATTCATATGACTATTTCTGATGAGAGGTCTAAAGTGAATATTCATCAAATCAAAAAATTCATTCGATTTGATACATGGAAATCAACACAGGGATACATCAAACATGAAAAAGCAAGGAAACATGACATCTCCAAAGACATACAATAATTCCTGTGTAATAGATCTCAATCATAGAGAAATATACAAAGTGACAGAAAAAGAATTCAAAATCGTACTCAAGAAAAAACAGTGAGTTACAAGATAATGCTAGACAATTGGATGACATCAGGAAAATAATTCATGACTCGAACAAGAAATTCAACAAGAAGATACATACCATTAAAAAAAAACACCAGATATCCTAGAGCTGAAGAATTCAATGAGTAAATAAATAATACAAGCTAGAGCTTTACCAAAAGACTAGACCAAGCAGTAGAATTTTATTTTATTTTTCTGGAGACAGGGTCTTACTCTGTCACTCAGGCTGGAGCGCAGTGGCATTTTCTCAGCTCACTGCAACCTCCACCTCCTGGGTTCAAGTGATTCTCCCACCTCAGCCCTCCTGAGTAGCTGGGACTACAGGGGCATGCCACCATACCCAGCTAATTTTTACATCTTTCAGTAGAGATGAGGTTTCACCATGTTAGTCAGGTTGGTATCAAACTCCTAACATCCAGTGATCCACCCTCCTTGGCCTCCCAAAGTGCTGGGATTACAGGCATGAGTCACCATGCCTGACCAAATTTTTGAACTTGATGACAGATCTTTTGAAGTACCACAGAAAGATATAAAATAAAATGGAATGAAGAAAGCCTACAGGATTCATGGGACACCATTAAGTGAACAAATATTCACATGGTAGGTGTTCCAGAAAGAGAAGAGAAGGGGAGAGGTACAGAAAACATCAAATGAAGTAGTAGCTGAAAACTTCCCAAGTCTTTTTGGTAGCAAAATGGATATCCAGATCCAGGAAGTTAAAAAAAAAAAAAGCCCAAATAGATTCCATTCAAACAGGACCTCTCTCAGGCACATAAGAGTCAAATTGTCAAAAGTCAAAGACAAAGAAAGAATTCTAAAAACAGCGAGAGAAGGGCCGGGCACAGTGACTCATGCCTGTAATCTCAGCACTTTGGGAGGCTGAGGTGGGTAGATCACAAGGTCAGAAGATCAAGATCATCCTGGCCAACATGGAAAACCTGTCTCTACTAAAATATAAAAAATTAGCCAGGTGTGGTGGCGGGTGCCTGTAGTCCCAGCTACTCAGGAGGCTGAGGCAGGGGAATCACTTGAAGCTGAGAGGCAGAGGTTGCAGTGAGCCGAGATCGTGCCACTATACTCCAGCCTGGCGACAAAGCAAGACTCCGAAAGAAAGAAAGAAAAGAAAGAAAGCAAGGAAGGAAGGGGAGGGGAGGGGAGGGGAGGGGAGGGGAGGGGAGGGGAGGGGAGGGGAGGGGAGGGGAGGGCACATTATGCCTGGCATAATGGACACTGAAAGAGAAACATGGAATGAATAATTTTTTCAGCAAAAACCATAAATAGATGAATGAAATCAATAAGGAGTGTTGTCAGGAAGTTACAGTATCACACATTGGTGCTATAATATAATTTGTGATTTCAAAGGCATTTCACAAACATCATGTCATGTGAATCATGCACAGCCCTGTGTGTAAGTCAGCACAGGTATCACCAACAAGAAAACAAAGGCAAAGAGACATCTGGTGATTTCCTCAGGGTCATCCACCTAGTGGCAGAGCTAAGGGTTCAGCCCACATCTTCTGATTCTTAATCCAAGGCATTTCCCTTGTACCACTTCAGAGGTTTCATAAAGGTAAGGAGGTCGGGCACAGTGGCTCATGCCTATAATCCCAGCACTTTGGAAGGCTCAAGGCAGGAGGACTGCTTGAGCCCAAGAGTTCAAGACCAGCCTGAGCAACAGAGTGAGACCTCTCTCTATTAAAAAGAAAAAAAGGCAAGGAGACTAAGGCAGCCTTGAAGAATGCATGAGATTTAGAAAAGAAAGGAAGCAATGGTAAG